ACGGTTGTGAAAGTGTTAATGATCTTGGCGTATCACATTCTCGAGTCATACAAAATTTAGTTTCCCAAGCATGTAAATTATTAGTTTTTATTAGCAGAAATTCCCGCGGATTTAAAACTGAAATCGCTTTAAAATCCTTATACTTCTATTTAGTAAGATCTAAAATTGAATACTGCTCTATTATTTGGTCTCCGAACTATAATAAGTTATTATTATTAATAACTCAGTTATATTACTTGAAAATGTTCAAAGTAAGTTTTTAAAACTTCTGGCATTTAGTCTGGATAATGTGTACCCGAACAGGGGCATTGATCATCAATTATTACTTGAAAGATTTAATGTTGATTCGCTGCATTTTCGAAGAGAATGTTCTGGTTTAAAATTTTTTTACAAAGTTTTTCACAACGAGGTTGACTGTTCTGATATCTTATTTATGTTTAATCTACATGTTCCTAGACTCAATTCTCGTAATAGTAATATCATATTACTAATATGTTTTATTGCAATAATGCTCGTACTCACCAGTACATGTTATAACTAACAACTACAATTTAATAAGCCATTCATGTGATTTGTTTTTTAATAGCTTAAATTATTTATTAGCTATTGCTAAAGATATATTTGAAACCTAATGTTCTCTATTTGCATATAATTGTATATTTTTGTCCTATTATTGGAATGTATTGTTCTGTTGGGCAAATAAATTATTATTATTATTATTAAAACGCAGTCATTTTTTCAGGATAGAGAAATCTTTGCTACATACATAACTAAGAAATTTGAGTTTTTGTAAAAAATTTAAAAATTAAAGAAAAATGCGAGAATTCCATACAAGTTCGTTGTCAAAATATTGTTTTTTTCTTGCCGTTACTGTATCTCTTTAAAAAAATATAAACTACATTTTGAACTGAACACTCCAAAATGCTGCGGGGTTTGAAACGAAATTGATTCATGCGGTCTGCTAACAAAAAATTAACTAATTAAAAAGTAAATTCTAACATATAATATAAGAGGTGTTAAATTTTCAGGTCTGCTTCGTTGCAGTCGCAGATCAAGTTTTCTTCATTGTCCCCTTCTTCTTCCCCGGTTGCAACATTGTTTTAGTTATTTATTAGATCTGCATACCATTTTAGATCTCCTACTTCCCTCCAATTAACTTTGTTTCCAGCTTCGTTTCTTCCATAGGATTTTTGTAACAAATTGTCAATATCTTTTTTTTTCTTCTCTTTAATAGGTCTACCTAGATTTACTTTATTCAATTTGAAATTGAAAAGAGATTTTCTAGGTCCAAGGCAGAGTTTTGGTTCATTTAGGTCGTTTTTATAGAAGTTCTCGAATTTCAAAGTAACTTTTCCAGAATAGGTTTTTTGTATTAAAATTCTCTTCGATTCACGAATATTATTTAGCTGTTTTATGTCATAAACATCCCAATCAGTTCCCAAAACTTTCACTGTCCCTATTTCCGAAAAAATGCTCCAATAATCTTCTTTATCTCCACGCGGTCTATTATTTAAACTTTATTGTTGTCAACATTCGATAAAGAAATACCTTGTTATGGCCTAGGCCGATAATGAGGCAAATACTTAGTTAAATTTTTTCTCGCTAGGGGTATTGTTTTGACAAATTAATCCTTTTCTAAGAAATGAACGTACTAAACTGGTTTAATTTATTTATAATAAGCACTAATTTGTTTGTTTTACTGTTAATGTTTAATATTTTTCATTAAATTATTGTAAAATTAAATATGAATAATAAAACAAAAAGTAAGGTTAAGCAACCAAGAAAACGCACGATTCTTTTTCTACGATTTAAATTATCTTTAAGTTTTAATTTGCTTTAAGTTTTCAGTGAAATTAAATGTTAAACACAGCTTAAACATTCCAAACTACCTATTTTTTAAATAAAAATCCAAAAAATTGAAATTAGATACCTACCTAAATATATTTATTAAACAATTAATTGAATTCAATGTAATAGCAAAAATCCATTTCTACTTAAAATGTAGATAGGTATTGTCAAACTATTACTGCTTCTAAAAGCAATAATAATTATTGTACATTTAATGTAATCTTTAGCTAATAAATAAATGAGATTCTAAAAAAGACCTAACCTCAGCTTTGATGTTGAATTAAATTGACTTATATAAAGTGCTTTGAAGATAAAATGTTGTATGCCATTCGGCCAAGAAGTGCCTTTTTGTGCTTCGCTCAATTGTAGGCCTCCGCTACGCGTCGGCCTTCAAACCTTGAGCTTAGCACAAAAAGCCTTACTTCTTAACCTAATGACATAAATAACTATTTTTTAAATTTCTTCTTTCTTCCTCATTTTCTTTTCAATTATTCCAAAAAACTCGATCGGCAGGTAGAAATAAGTGACCCCTTACTGGGAAAAACAAGATAACTTTTTTGATACTATGTGGGGCTTTATTGTTAAGCCAGTAGGGGAGACCGGTATCAATTGTAACAAAATTTAATATAATTTTTTCATCCGCCACAGTAAATACCAACTTATAGGGAAAAAATATAAAATTGTACTCTCTTAAAATGAATTAGTCAAAAATAACTAATTATAAGTCATATTTGTCTAATTGTCATAGCAAAAAAGCAGTCACTAATAATTAGTCAAATTCTACTGAATGAAATAGTCAAATTAGTGGATTTAAATTTAAAAAAGTTTTGACCCAGCCGGGGATTGAACTCAGGTCTGTCACTTGTCAAGCTTGTCAAACTGTTGTCATAATCAATGTGGCTATAAGTCGCACCTATAAAAATCAATTTTATTTGTCAATTAATATTGTTCATAATATTTTAAACTTGAATATATTATTTGAGTTGCTGTTTCGCGCTAAACTTTTTGCATCTTTGTTTGTTTTTATGGGCCGTTTAACCATGGAGCCTATATGCATTTAATTCAAATAATACTTTGTTGTTGGCCGCAAACAATTAAAGAAATTAGTTACTTTTAAATCTCAGAAATAGTCAAAGATGTTGACTAATCTTAAATAAGTCAAAGTTTGACTATTTACGTAGTGAAAAATAACTATTTAAAAGTGAAAACGATTATTTTATTATTAAAAATGCTGGTACTAATTCGAATAGTAATTCAAAATTTTGACTATTTCATTTTAAGAGAGTAGCTACATATTTTTAAAAAAAATACTATACTCATATTTGGTAGAGTTAAATTAAATAATCCTTAAAAAAACATTAATATGATCAAAAACCAAATGTTATTATTGACACCATGTTGGTGTCAAATGTAACAGGGGTATGAAAAGTTGTAAGGGTACACTTAAGTGCACTACCATGGTAGTTTATTTGCATACAGTCTAAATAATAAAGTTATTAAACAGAAATATGAAAATAGAGAATACTTATAAATATAAAACTAAGTGGGGCTAGTACAAAAACATCTTAGGCAAAGTTAGTCATCATCTGACGATGATGCACAATTATTACAAATAAATAGGAAATTGTTCTTAGCACTCGAAGAATGAACCCAACCTTCACATAGACTACATTGGCTACTTGGTACTTGGTAGTAACGACCACAGCAAATTAAACAAAAAGTATCATCCTTAGATGATTCTCCTGATGTTTCTTCTTCGCGGATCTTTTTCTCTTTGGCGATCTTCTTGATTTTGTATGTGGTGGAAATGAAAGTAATGTTATGTAGTTTTTTCTGCAAAAATTAATAACAGCAATAGATAAATGTGAGCTATGGTTGTCCAAAATAAGTAGGACTCTGTTTGTTTCATTTGGCTTTGTGGAATTTGGGAAGTGTTTAATAAAAAGTAAGAAATCTTCTTCCTTCATCCAACCACTCTTGTTCCCAGTTCCAATGCAACCGGGCGGGCCATCTTACAAAATGCTCGTGATATCTCTTCAATGGAAATATAAATATAGGTGGTACACTGTTGCCTAGTGCATTTACAGCTACACAGACTGTAATTAACGTACCCCTTTCTTGCGACGTTATTGCACCCACCTGTTTTACACCCTTTTTGGCTATGATTTTATTGGGTTTTTTAACCGTAGTGCACCCGGTTTCATCGAAGTTGTAAATGTTATTTGGTTTAAAATTATATCTGTTTAAAACATCAACAAGATTATTAAAAAATATATTGACATTTTCCTGATTAAAATTCATCGTTCTTGCCAAGCTGGTTGATTCAGGTTTGCGTATTTTCTTAAATCTCTCGGCGAAAGCCCAAAATATAACTTGGAAGAATCTGTGCAGTAATTGCATAATTCCAGCTCCCGTTTGTTGTTGAAAACTTTAATTTGGGGATGATCATTGATAACCAACTTGTGGGTTTTCATTGTTTTTCTTTGCAAAAACAAATCGTCTAAGGGAAACGTGGCACATTCCATATTGTTTTTCTGTTGTCCTAACCTTTGCATTTTTATTAATAACCAGGTTAGCAGCCTGTTCATATAATTCTTGTGAAATCTCACCCCTATTAGTTTTCTTTTTTCTTGGTTATACCGTTTTTCAAACTGTGGCAATGAATTACTTAAAACGGTGTCAATTGTAACACCCGCAAGGCTGTTACAATCGACACCACCGGTTCTCAAACAGCATGCAAGTGAACCAACTAAACTTAATCTTTAAATTTTAAGAACCATCCATGATAAATTTATAGTACGAAACCGGCACATTTTAGTGCAATAATAAGTTTAAAAGTCAGGCAATAATAAACTAGTTATCACCTATTTAGTATTGTGCAGGATACTTACTTAATAATAAACTAGTTATTACATATTTATTATTGTGCATGTTACTTACATTTCAGTTCAAAAATCACTTGGACCGGTCTCACAAATAGACGCTCTTCCGTTAACAATTCAAAACTGCTACCACCTAAGATGCTAATGACAGCATATATCAACATAGATAAATTTTTTTTTGCTTTACAGATAACGGGATAATCTTAAAAGTTACAATTGAAACCTGTTACAATTGATGCCGGTCTCCCCTATGTCAGAATATTGATAACTTCACAATCTTGAGGTGTTCATAGGAAAATTGTATACTGCCGATCCTATCTCGTTTGAGCCTTTATTTGCCTGAGTCTCCAACCAGGTGTAAAACACAGGATCAGAGGTTTGCCTGTCAGTAACACAAAAATAATACAAAAAAAGTTGAGTTGCATAGAAAGTCTCTTGTATCGGGACTTTGAAAAGAACTTGTACTTGCTGAAGATCAAAATACACTGTAAAAGTATTTTCATCATTCTTTTTCATTAATAGGTGGTATTGCTTAGCAGATAGTTTATGCAGTCTTGATTTGGTCATGATTTCCATTTTCTTTGCTGGATTCGTTCCCATCTTAAGCTGGTTTTTAAGTTGATAGCAATAACTACACACGTCGGTAGCTGTCAAACCAAATCCTATGTTAAAATCTTTTTCAAAGATCCCATAAAAAAGTTTTTTCACTTTTAAATTGAGATCAGCGGCAGATTTATACATTTTCCATAATTTTAAAATGGAGCAATCCGACGGTAAATAGATTCGTTTTGATTTTTCTCTGTTATAATGCGATTCGATTGCATTCAAATTTCCAAGAAAATCACGCACAGCTTGTCTTCTTCCATCGTACATTTTTGCTCTATAGGGATATCCCTATATATCCTTCCTTGAGTTATTTGCTATCGGTCTCAATAGGGAAAATGTAAAAGTTATGGTGTGCCTATAGTTAATTTCCTATAAATTTTCTATCGGGCCGTATCCGAAAAAAAACATGAACAAATGCACATATTGAGTCCGTTAGCGCCCGATAGATTATTTTTATGGGTCTCTATGGGGTATTTTAAGCAGGTTTAGTAAAAAATTTTTGAGAAACAAGGTGTCTTTTTTGGTTAAAATCATAAAAAATTTACTTTATATGAACACTTTGTACATGTTTAAAACCTGACCTATTCCTAGGATGCTTAACTACTAATAAATGTGCAATCTTGTTGTCCTGAATAGAACGATTACTTTCAGCCTATAACTTTTCTCTAGCATTAATTATAGCACCACGGCTGATTGCGTTGCAGTTAATTTTCGCCTCTTTGGCAGTAGGACCTTTTTCATGGTTGCAGGGCCTTGTATCCATATCCTCCAAATTACGAAAATGATTAGCGTGTCTAAAAATTGTTATTGCTTAACAATGTTTATTGTTCAATTTGCAAAAATTACCTAAATTCCATTTCCAAAGCTCTTCGTTGAGGTTTCTTGATTTTCTTTCGTGAACAAGACGTATTTTGTTTTACCGAAATCCATTGCTCACCATCTGCATTCATTTTCGATGCAATTATTAATGAAACTCTCACAAAAGTTCGTGCACAGATTAGTTTGTGGATAAAAAGAAAGTTTTCACTTACTGTCAAACTTTGAAACATTTCTAGAAAAACTGCGTTTTGAAACGGACAACCTCGCAATAAAAATTACGGTTTGAAACAAACACCGGAATTTGAGACCCTATAATAAGAAAAATATCACGATTTGATCCGAACGAGTTTTTTTAGTCGATGTAGTTCAGTTCTAAGCATCTAAATGCACTTATTACTGAAAACTCTAAATTTTACAAAAAATGCATTTTACATATGAGGAGCTACATTGTAAATACATTTAAATTTATATAAATACCCATATATTATCACTAGCAGGCTGAAGGACCCCGATCGATGGCCTTTAGTATATTTTGTATTATATGTTCTGTATTGTACTGAATATGCAATAAAAACTTTATTTATTTATCACTATTTTAGTACCTACTATTAAATATTTGCAAACTTAAAAAAGTTACAGTTTATCCAGAATTGGACCATTTTTTTAACCGTCCGTTTGAACCAATTAAAAAATGTAAAAACTATCAGAAACAAGTACTTATTTGGGCGTTTCTCTGTAAACTGGGCAACTTGAAGTAAGAAATTGTCTAGGCAAGTTTTTTTGTTATATATTTTTTTGTATTTAATAAATATTATTCGAAGAATAAATATCGGTCTATTTATTAGTATAAGGCAGATGAACCAAAAATATTCCTAAGACTTTGGAAAACATTGAGCATTTTCTGAAAAATCTATTCAGGGGACTGTTTATAAAATCTGGAGACAAAGTTTAGATGACTTTTTTAGAATTACAAAATAATAATTATAAAAAATAAATAAGTCACAGTAACAAGCAAACAATATTGGTTGAATAATTAAACAATTAGGTTGATTCCAATAGTTACTGTCTTTAATTAATTTAGTCTGAAGTGACCATTTTGCTTTGGTGACACGTCAGGGGACTGGTTTTTAAGGACTATAAAAACGATTTTGATACATTAAAGTTTATTTTATTGGATTTTGAAAGTCGAGCATAGGTAGATTAGGTTATTATCTTTTAAAGTTATCTACGAAATATTTATGATCTGTTATTTTTCTAAACAATATTAGCTTGAGACAATGAGTTGCCCAGTTTACAGAGAAACGCCCATTTATTTTATCTAATTGTCTTGTTATTGTAAGATTAATGTCTATAGAGAAACCTTTTAGTGAACATTTAATATTATTTCTAGCAACAATAAGTCATTTACTTTACAAAGAAATTAAACTGGAGAGTAAATGTTGCCTTTCTAAGTGCTCATATAAAACTTTGTAATCCGTACTAGTTTACAAGAAAAACTTTTTAGAGACACGATAACGAAAACCATCATAATAAAGGAATGTGAGGCAACAGATGCAGGTTTTTTGTTAATTCTAATTAAAATAAATAATAAAATTTTAACAAATGTTTTTCTAGCCGAGTTTTGAAGCATTCGCTAAATTCATTTTAACTTTGTGAAAAACTTAAACGAATCCATACATCATAATAATTATAAATATATATATATGTAAAACATCAGGGTATTTTACCCTGAATAAAACTAATTTGATGGGGCTTCACTTATTATTAAGGCCCGGATTTTTAGGTCAAAAAGTGATAAAAGGTTCCTAAATTAGGTGATATTTTTAATAAAATAGGTATTTTAGGTACCTATATTTTATGTACTTATAAAATAGATAAAATATAGGTACCTAAAATACCTATTTTATTAAAAATATCACCTAATTTAGGAACCTTTTATCACTTTTTGACCTAAAAATCCGGGCTCTACTTATTATTTATTACTTTTTAACTAAATTTATTAAACTGCTATGATTCGACTTCTACAAATGTTCTGCGGACTCTGCGTTACCATTCGATTTCTAAGCTGTGCCAAGATTGTTTTGCTTAGTAGGCACACGTGCCTTTATTGGTCTACTGTCCTAGTTTGGTAAAAAAAGATTACCCTAACACGGCCATCCTGTTTTCGGAGCGTCCTCGCGCCGTTTTTTTTCTTCTTCTTTTATTTTTGCAAAAAGAAAAAACCGAAACAGATTTTTGTTTTAAAAGTTGTTTAGTCACCTCCCAAGCATAGTATGACTGCTACTATCTTGTCTTTTTTTTGTCGGATGGGTTTGCCATCCTCAACAGTGGGATTGCCACTTTCACAGAGGTGTTTAGTCACCTCCCAAGCATAGTAGGATTGCTACTATCTTGTCTTTTTATTATTATTATTAAATACAGGACTTACATTTTTTTATTCCTTTGGCCACGGCCTCAGCTGTTCAAGGGCAGCAACTGTGGTCCTCTGTGCAGAACATATCTCTCATTTGGTAACACCTGTCGAACAGTATAAGGTCCTCTATATTTTGGTTTTAATGCCTCCACCAGCAATTTGTGAATCTTCAATGGCTACAACATCACCAGGAATAAACAATTTTGTAGAGCATCGAGTAGCGTTAAATCGTAAAGATTGTTTGTTTGCATTAAAGTTCATTCGATTTCGAGCGTCTTCGACGGCCTTATCTGCGTCGACAAAATTATCGTGCCCATCCAATAATAATGTCAATATCACTTGGAATTATTTCATCCAGCACAACAATAAAATAAATTTCTAAGGTCATGATCGACAACAAAGTTATTAGTTTACACACTCCTATAGGATAAACAATTTACTTCCCAAATCCTGTCAACGCGTGCACTTTTTCGTTCGGCTTAATGATACATTCACACATCGGCACCGCTATCAATAACATAACTACATGATACTGCATCGTCTTTACCGAGCACTGTTGCTATTGGTGTTAAATTCAGTTGACGTCATTTTTTAAGTATCAATGCTTTTTTTTCGTTTTCCACTTTTATACCAACAGAATATTTCCATATGACCCATTTTTTACAATGCGCACAAGTAGGAACAATTGACAATTCGCTTTTATTGGCAGAAACAACTTCTTTTCGGGAGTTTTCTTTACGCACACTACGGCATGAGCTTTGCTGATGTCCTTGTTGACCGGACTTAAAACAGGATCCTTTAAAAACCTTTGTTTCTTTTTGTGCACAAAAACTTTTTGAATCCCGTTGATCTTTTCGGTGTCTTCCAAGCTTGTGTTCCATTATTCCAGAAGAACTGCTGATTCGGCGTGCATCGTATTCACTCAACAATTTCATTAGTTCGCGTTCTGTACTAGGCTTCTGAATTCTAATTGCTGATTGCGCCTCTGCATTATTTAAATTATATTCTACCATGCCCAGAATGGTATCCCATGGCAGTTTATCGTGAAATTTTTTTATTGCACGTATTTTTTTATTACCATAATCACACAATGATTCGCAATCAGAGTTGCTGCAGTATATGCTCGTGCTCCTGGTGTTTCTCGATCAGGAAATGCTATAGTTAGGTCATTACAAAAGTTTTTCCAAGTTCGGGAAATGGGTCTCCAATCACAAAAGTATTTGTATGCTCGACGTTTCAGTGCATCTCCTGCTTTTGCGATCATTACAATGTCATTTACATTTAGTTCCCTTTTAAGCTGGGTGACATCATCCAACCAATCTTTGATTGAATAGGCACTTTTATCGGGATCGTAGCTTGTGACATGGAAAGAGTACACATGTCTTGATGAAGACGCATGCGCATTTTCGTCAGATGAACTAGGCGTGGTCCTTGTCAGAGGTGCTTGGGACATTGCCATCTTGGTTTGATTTGCTAACTCAGCAAGTTGTTGCTGTTGCGTCACAACTAAATTTATTAAAGTTTCTTGCCACATTTTGACGCGTTTTGGGGTTGGAGGTTGTAAAATTGCTTCTGCATCTAAATCATCACCACATAAATTGTCATTTTCAACTCTAGATAACTCATCTGCCATCTTGATGCACTCACTCTTTGTCTGCTTTTGTTTATTATAAATTAACTTAATTTAACTTAACTAAACTAATTATTGTACATGGAAATCACTATCCCACTTCTGATGTAAAACATCAGGGTATTTTACCCT